TTTCATTTATTTCACATACTCGATGTGAAATAAATGAAACAAATGCAAATAACTAATTATAATATATAAAAACCAAAAACATTTTGCATTTTTCGAGAAAGGATTTCTACGGATTTGTTGGATTTGTGGAATATACTAAGTTTTGTGGCGATTTTTATGCGAGTGCGAAACGGAACCGATAAGGTAATTGCGTTCACCTGCCCGCAAATCCCTTGTATTCTTTGTAGCATATCTTAAGGGATCGAGAGAAAAGAAAATAGGTTAGCTTGCCCAAAAAAAAGGAGCGGGATCACTGATGAAATTTGTCCAATAGAAGTTTTATAAATTTTTGTGTGCTCGCAACTGTAAGTATATGTGTACTAACCTCGCCGGTCAGGATCAAATAAAACCAATTTTAAATTCATTATATTAATTTAATAAAAGAAAGTGAATTTAATGTTAATTAATAATGTTAATTAATAATAAAAATAAATACAAAAGTAATTAATTTTTTTTTTTTTTTCCCAAGTAGAAAATAATTAACAGTAATTAAAGGATTTCCTAATCCAATTTGTGTAATATGATCAATAACGACTTACGTGATGCTTCCTTGGAAGCACTTACCTCGATCACAAATTGCGCAAAATATTATATAACAAAAATAATTAATAAATTCACAACGGACACTAATAACATATACTATTTACTATTATTACGCCCGAAAATGTGAAGGTCAATATCAATGATAGGTGAATTTCAGTGAAATTGGACAAGATTTATCACAAAATTTCTCCAAAACAATATGTCGAACTTAAAGCTCTTATCAAAGGGTTCTGCCAGCTCTCTCAAAGTACGAAGAAATAAGCTCAGCCATTCTTTACGTTTATACTACTGCACTATTGGGTGGACGCGGCCCATCATATCCTAATCGAACTTACCTGCAAAATTTTTCAATTTTTTCATCAAATTCGTAATTGACATCCCTAGTTTGTCGGTCAGGACAGTGCTTATCAGAGACAGATAGCCAGACACACATGCGCACAGTCAAACAAGCCTAGATTAATTCAGAATTTGATGTTGATCAAGAATATATATATGTTATATATATAGAATGTTTGAAGCCTTCTTTTGATAAAATAAATACAAGGCTCCCCCTATGCTAATCGGGGTTCATTATTAGTTAGTTAGTAAAGGGCAACCCTTCGATGATGGATATGATATGTAAAAATTATAAATTTTGAAAATTTAACAAAGTGTGGACGCAAATTTTATATGCGAGGTTTTCAATGGATTTTTTTTTATTAATATATAATGCTTGATCAGGTAACGTAACGAATCGTATTACTCAGCTATATAATTCTGACTGATAATTTGACAATTATTTCGAATTTTCGAATTTTGTATTACATATAACCCATATTTGGTTGACTACGATACAGTTTCGCGTAGACACCATTCTGAGCTAATAGCTGAAGATGATTACCGTGCTCTACAATATTTCCATTGCGTAAAACGCAAATTAAATTGGCATTTTGCACGGTGGCCAAACGATGAGCTATAATGATACTAGTGCGTCCTGAACAAGCTTCACCCAAGGCTTGTTGGACTACACGTTCACTTTGCAAATCTAAAGCTGAAGTAGCTTCGTCCAATAGTAGTATTTTAGGATTTCTTATTAACGCTCTAGCTATGGCAATACGTTGTTTTTGTCCGCCCGATAATTGGGTCCCTCTGCTTCCCAAACAAGTTTCATAACCCATTGGCAAAGTAGTAATGAAATCGTGGGCATTAGCTAATTTAGCTGCGGCCACAATTTCCGTCATGGGCACAGTACGCGACGTATCACCATAAGCGATATTATCGGCTATGGTTTTCTCAAAAAGAGATGGCTCCTGAGAAACTACACCTAGTCGACTTCTCAAATTATTCAAAGAAATATCTTGATGAATATTTTCCTGATCTATATGCTAAAAGTGAAATTTGCGTTATGTAGCGGAGAGATTGCGACTTCTTTAAACTTACTATTTCTCCCGAGTTCGGATCGTAATATCGTAGCAATAATTGCAGGCATGTAGATTTACCTGAACCTGATGGTCCTACCAATGCCACCGTTTTTCCCTGCATTATATCCAAATTAAAATTCTTTAAAACTTGATGGCACCTCCGAGTCGAATATGAGAAGTAAATATTTTGGAAATTAACCCCTTCTCGTTTAACATTGACTTTTGAAAGTTGATCATCGATAAAGTGCAAGGAAACTTTGGGTTCCGGCGACCTTATTTCCGGCTCACGGTCGATTATGTTATACAAACGATTGGCCGAGATAATAGCAGCATTAAAGGCAGGCGTGAAAGCGAGCGACTGTGCCAATATGAATAGACCGTATAATAAAGAATTGGAAATCCTGTTGGGTTAGACAATTTTCATTGTTAGGGCTGTAAATTTGTAAATTTCAATGTGCGTGCGTGTATTCGCATTTACTTGATAATACTTTCGAATTTAATTAGTCCATCAGCGCACATATAGCCGCCATAAGTTAGGGTTATGGCGTAACCCAAAAACATTATAGACATACCGAGTGAATTAACCACTCCACGATATCTTAACCGTTGTTTTATCTGTAGACGATATTTTTCCAGTTGTTTGTGATAGGTTTCGATTAGGTCGCGTTCTCGTCTTAACGCGGCCACCGTACATATTTGGGCTACGGCTTCGGTAGCGACACGACTAGTTTCTTCCAAAATATTTTTCTCTTTTAATGCACATTGACTGGTGAATCTTAAAATGGCGAACTTTCAGTCTGATCTAATTTATAATTTTTTAAAGGTCTTACTTTGCTTCAAACAATATGGCGGCCACCATAAAAGGTGATGTCGTTAAACATATCAGAGCCAATTCCCAGGAATAATAGAAACCTATTGTAAAACTGCATATAAAGTTGGCTATGGCCTGAATAATGTTACTTAAAGGGAAACCAATCGCTCCTTGAACAGCACAAGCATCGCCTGCTAGACGCGCTGACATGGCGCCGACACTATTTTCCTTGAGATCGAACCAACCCACGTCCTGATTAAGCACTTTTTGAAAAGTTATAGATCTATAAGTGCAAACTGAATAATAAAAGACAAACGAACTTCAAACGTTTCTTTCAAACCTTATGCGACTTGTTAACCACACTCCAGCCAAGTTGAAAAAGTATGTTTGAGTAAGACAAGTAATGCATGCCGTTATACCTACGATTACACTAATTAGAGCCGTACGTGAGGATCTCTTCAATACTTCGTCTGGTTCAGCCACCGATAATGATCCAAAAAGATCCCCAAGTATTATCGCAAGTACCGGCTGCGTGCAACCGTACAACATCGAACAGACAGCACCCAGTAATAAGAAACCCCACTCGGGCTTAGACCATTTCAAAATTCTCAAAAATGTTTTCATGTAGTGTGTTTGCTCACTATTATCCAAAGTTCGTGAATCTTGGCAGGTCCTTGTGAATGAATTTTCGGTATTTTTATTGAGGGAGCCTTCAGAAAACCTATGACCGTCCATGGTATACTTAGTTGCCTGATCATAGTCTTTATCTCCCTGCTTTAATTGATTTGAATCACTTTCTTCATTATCGTCTAATCCGTCATACTCGTGAGCGGTGACCATGTCGAAATATCTACCTTTCTGATGCATAAGATTCTCATGAGTGCCATCCTCCACCACACGGCCTCTGTCGATGAAGACGATACGATCAGCGTAACGTATAGCAGATAAACGATGTGAAACTACTATGGTTGTACGTCCTTTGCTGGCCTTATCTAAAGCTGCTTGGACCACTTTCTCCGTATGATAATCTAAGGCCGATGTGGCTTCATCAAGCAACAGTATTTTTGGATTTTGTATTAATGCACGAGCTATAGCGATTCTTTGTCGTTGACCTCCAGACAATTGTACACCTCTTTCACTTATTAATGTATTATAGCCCTTCAATATAAAAGGATGATCGAGTCGAGAGATTACATGCAATATGGAGAAAACTCACATCTGGCAAATCTATTATAAATTCATGGGCTTCAGCCGCATTAGCCGCCTCTTCGATTTCTTTTTGTGTGGCATTCATCTTGCCGTGACGTATGTTTTCCTCTAAATATTTTTTAATATAACCTTTCAAATAATTTTCGTCACTTCACTCACGTCTTACCTACCTATTGAACCAAAAAATAATATCGGTTCTTGACCTACCATCGCTATATTTGATCTTAGCCAGTGGACATTGTATTTTCGCATATCTTGATTATCCAGGTAAAGTTTACCGAATATTGGATCATAGAACCGTTGCAGCAATTGTATGCATGTTGATTTCCCCGAACCGGAATAGCCGACTAAAGCGACCGTTTCTCCTCTTTTGATTTTGAGATTAAAACCACGCAACACGATTGATTCAGGACGTGATGGGTAACAAAAGAATACGTCTTCAAATTCAATATCTCCTTTAAAGCCGTAGTTTAAAACTTTCCCGTGCATAGCTAAAGGATCAATTTTTGACTGTGCTTCTATAACCTGAAAGACAGCAACGGCCGAACCACGGGCCACGGCAAAAGCTTCCAGGAAAGGAGCAGTATGCGATATATGATCTGCTGACACAATTATACCACAAATAACCTACGAAAGTATTCGGCACTTATTTTATACCATAGCAATTCAAGTACTTACTATTAATAGAACAGCAGGGGTATATTCTTGATCGACCGGAGCTTTATACCGGTCATCCAATATGAGATGGGCGCCATACCAGAAAGCTGCTGCACTACTTATAAACAACATTCCTTTCAATATTGAGTCATTTAGGCCAGAAAACATGCCCTTCAATTTCCCCGCTCTACGGGCTGGTTCTAGGAAATTGTTATACCGCTTCTCTTCAATTTTTTCCCCGCCGAAGGCCACCACTGTACGTATCGAAGCTAAGACTTCTTCAACCACTGATCCAGCCTTCGCGTAAGCATTTTGCTCACTTGCTGTTAACTTGCTTTGATACTATCAAGAAGAAATATTAAAATAATTTCTGATTCTTTCTTGAAATTTATCTAATCTATAATTAGTCCCCTTTTTGTTATATATAAAAGATACTAGCGCACTAGTTCTTTGGGCTTAGTTTTCACGAACACGTGGTAAAATTTTTTTGTTATTGTTAATCACTTCTCGAGACAATTCATGTTGAATATATAGTTCAATATTTTGAATGAAATAAAAGACGGGAGTGAAAGAGAGAGAGAGAGAGAGAGAGAGAGAGAGAGAGAGAGAGAGAGAGAGAGAGAGAGAGAGAGAAAGAAAGAGAACAACAAAAAATTGCTATAATATTGTACTTACATTGGATGTTACATAATTCACTATCATCGTAATCGGTATGTAAATGCAAATCGTTAAAGTTAAACGCCAACCATAGACGAAGGATATGGCGATGCTAATAATGATATCGAATAATAATTGTATAAAATGGCCCATTGTCTCCGAGATACCGTTACGAATTTTTTCCATATTACTGAAAACAATATAAGGCAAAAATAAAATGTCTAAAAAATTAATTCACCGGAACTTTAATACTTACTCAGTAATTGTTAAAGCAAAATTTTGATTTTCTGCCATATCGTGCCAACTTATATCTTGACGCAACGTAGCCTCAAAATATTTGGAACGCAAGCGTGTTATAATATTCAAGGCCACATGATTGAAAAGGTCAACGTAAATAATGCCGGACAGCAACATTAGTACCGTATTCAAACCACAGAGCATGCCAAAGGCCTTAGCATCGTTGCGTAGTTCCTGCATATTTTCTTCATAGGTACCATTGATTCTGCAATATTCAAATTGTTTTGTTAGAATTCGTTTCATTTTAGGATTCTTGTCGAAGACAAGACATCCCATGTATTTGGCATTTCGACTTTTGAATTGATTTAACGACCTCCGTTCGTCCATTTATTTATTGAAGTGACAAAAATTCAAAACTTTCGAGTGGAGATAAAGATATATATATATATTTATATATATATATTTATATATATAAATTTATATATATTTATTTATTTACATATATTTATATATACTTCAAAAGCCCAATTCAAATCATTATATTTCATGTTCCATTTGTCCATTCGTTATTTCGAGGGAATACTTACAAAATCTTACCGCCATCAAAGATAGGTAGAAAGTATGTTACTGATGAAGTTCCCAGACTGCGATCAATGAACATCGCAATTAATTCACCGTAGACCAATATCACTATTGGGAATACTAAGGACCGTAGCAAAGCTGCTAATACTGCCAATATTAATAAAACACAATCGCGTAGCGAAGCATTTGAAAATAATTCGAAAAAACCGATTTTTCTCGCTTCTTTCCTCAACGTTTTTATGTCTTTGCCATGCGTTGTATCCTCCATGATGTCGGGATGTCTATTGAATACTCTACACCATTTAATGTGTAATAGTCATTTAATGTCGGTATAGGAAATGCTCTCATTAGACCTTTTTTAAACGATGTTTAATTAATGTACAATAAAAACAAATATAATAAAAATGCTTTGTTAACGTAAACTTAATCAAAAAAACTGTTTAAAGGTCAATTGAGTATCATATTCTATTTAACTTTGCTCTGCATTCATCTAATTCTTATTCTATTCTGTTATTTAAGTCAGCCGCCGTTTACCCGATCAATTGATTTCAAATCATTTATAAATTTTGTACTTTTACATCATCAAAGGATGAGGGGCATATTCATTTTGTCGAAACGTTTGCAACGCGCAGGAGGACGCTTTAGAAACCCCATAAATTATATAAATTCATGTCTGTCTGTACGTCTTTCCATATGTTTTCAAAATTAGCATAAAGAATTGAAAGTTCCTGCAACCATATTGGTATTGAAAGTGGTCCAAATCGATTAAATGTCTTCAACGTCCACAGTACCACGTAAACTGAGAACTCCTCGGTTTTTGAAAAAGAATAAAAGATTGTGTTTATATGCTGTATCACTCAGTAGCTATAGCAGATAAATGTACAAAATTTGGAACGCAGGCAATGTTATAATATTCGTACAAAAAATGGAGAAAATTGGCCATGCCTACCCCAAAATTGAATTATTTTTTTTCAAATACCTTTATAACGCGCAGAAACAAAGTTCGAAAACTTGATAAGCTTAAAGTTAAAATTCTTGGCTAGTTTCAGTTTTGCAATGCATCTTAAAATATCCGTCTGTTCGTCTGTCCAACTGTCTGTCTGCACAACTGAATAGTATTTGTGGTAAATGCAGATATTGTTTAAAAATTTGCAAACAAATTTCGAAGTGACATGAACTTTTCAAGGCCACGCCTACAACGCCCCCATCCGCGATGATATACGATAAAAACTTTTATTTTGAATTTAGAAAAACTCGTGTCGGCCGTGTCCACTCCACATTATAGACTATGGATATTTAGTTCTTTTTATTCGGTTTGTCCTTTTTAGTATGACGTTGATGGGCATAAAAGATTCGGTTACGATCGAATCTAATATTTTTAATTGTTATTATTAAATTTATATATTTTATTATACTACGTTTTGCAATGGTTTATCATATTATGCGAGAGCAAACGAAAAATTGTAAATGCACTCTTTGTTAGAGGGCGTCAGTAATTGGGTGAATGTAGACATGTTATGGGCCCTTTTCGAACACAGTTTTCCCTTCTATGCACTTATAACTAATCATGAGCATCAGGTATTTGCCCGGATATCAAAAGAACTAAAGTGCCTTTAAGAAGGAGACGAAAGATTTTAATTGTGCTAAGTACACTGAACTATTTGGATATTTGAAAAGCTCTGCGAAAAAGCTTACGGTTTAATTCGGTTCTTCACATATATACCGTTCAAATATGGCAAAAGTAGGAGAAAACTTTGTTTTATTTAAAAGTTCACGTTTAAAAGGAAAACAATCGTATCGGCCGGCTTTGAAGCGATTTATCTCGTCGTAGCCTTTCCCGCCACGTCCAGATCTTTCTATTTTCAAGTAAGAAGGTACACAAATACTGTTACCTTTTCCGTTCCTTCCCTACCTATAGTCCTTCCTAACTACCGCCACACCTTTATATTATAGACTGGGCAAAAAAAAAAAAAAAAAAACGCAAGAAACCTTTGTTCCTTTGGCTCGTGCTTTGGTGTGTGACCGCTTCCTTTTCATTTGATAAACGTAAATAAGCATAAATATTTTCTTTTTTATCTTCAAAATAATAATAATTATATTGAAAATGATATTGAGAATGGTTTCGGATAATTATTTAATATAACAGTCTTAACATAGTGTTCGTATATATTTTACACCCTATATGAGATATTAGAAAAGGAGTTTTTTTTTAAACAATTGTCCGTCAATCAGAGATGACATAGAACGATGTGAATGCGATATGGGATTTGGGAAAAAAAAGAAGGAAAATTTAATGAAACTATGTACATTTCAAAAGATTTTCTTACTTGACGGGTATGCAAGATTGACTTCTGTTCGAACTTATAGTTACAAGTTTTTAACTCTACAAACCGTAACGTGGACGATAATATCTATATAAATATTTACATTAAATTATTATATGGTATATAATCATAAAAATGCTGTAATTAATAAATTTAGATGTATAAGATCTTCTAATTATATCTATTGTAGATAAGGCTGCGCCAGTGTTAGGCAATGAATGATAGCACTACGGGATGACTGAGGCAAATTAATTTTATGATTTACTGTTTAATGAATGTGCACAGACACAAAAATTTGTTGAGTTCTCTTGCGACGCTGAATCGAATCGTCATCACAGCGATATGCCTGTTCATTTGAGGTCTTCTTACTGACATTCCCATTGTCGGAAGAATTGAGAGTATGAGTAACGATATGCTTCCTGTCTAAAATGTCTTCCAAAGTAAGCAGAATATGTTCAAAAGAGAATTTTCTGGCGGCCACCACGGGTTGGTAGGATTCAAATCCTTCGCTGACCGGCAGTCAAGGGCGCAAAGTAATCAAACATCGTAAAAGGCGACCTGTGGTGATGATGCGATAATTGCATCGATGCAAAAATGAATGACGACAAGAAGTAATGGTCACTCTGAACTCGAATCAGGGGCACGCTTCGATTGTTTATTGTGATAAATGCTCAACCTGTAATAGTACGAATGAGTTGCGCGCATTACGGATGCCTATGAAAACATAAGTGATTGCAAAAATGTTGCGCAACTGAAATCTGTGAGAAATGAACACAAACCATTTAAACTTTTTTTGAACTCGAAAATAAACAACATCTGCCCCTCTGAAAATCCCGTTCACGCTTTGGTCCGAATAAATTGGATGGTGGTCAAAAATTGTACAGAAAACGTGTAAGCAAGTGGAGACCATTCAAAAAGTTTGCCCGGTTGCAATGAACATACTACAGTTTAGAACGTTCTAACTGACCCTCTGGCCGTCTGACTTTATTATATATTTGGCATATATGTATCTTTTGAAGGCGCAAAATTCTATTAAGTTTAGAACGCACGTGTAATAAAATAGTAAAATTTCGGTCAATAATTCCCCGGACAAATAAAACAGAAATGCATTTTGGCGAAACCCGTCTTTATTTATCAAGATTGTCTCCTTTAAGAGTGATAGAATCAGTGAATCAATGCGATATTCATATTTTTATTCGGCTTGTGAATAAATGCGGTATCCACGCCCAAGTTTTCATGCAAAAATAGTGAAGACAAATATCTTTCGATATTTTCGAAATGTAAATTATCACGGGTAAGTCAGTTATCGCAATTTTTGGATTTTTACTTTTCGAGATTTTCTGGTATAATCAACTAAGCCATATCGTTCAGCATAATCGGAAAATCACCGGCAAACGGTTGTTTTCGAGGAAGAAATGTTGTCATAAGTGTTTTCAAGCCAACACTGAACGATATCTTTGCCCATCCAAAAGCAACATGTAATCAACACAAGAAACACAAAGGATTGAAATGACGTAAAGTTTGAATAAGCGTCGTTTAAGTTATTGTTAGAGATGACAATTATGTCTCAGTCCCGAGAATTATTAACAGATATGCTTTGATATATATTTGCAAAACTATGATACTTTACTGAGAGTTCAAGACTTAAACAAAGCTGCAATACTTGGGGTACTAAGCTTTACTACTTTAACGAATATGCGCAATTGAAGATATCGACTTGGAAGTTTTCAGTAATCAGAAATATGTATATAGTTTATAAGGTCTATAGTTAGTAAACATTCACGAATGCATATGGCGAACAAAGGGGAGAAAAATTGAAAAAAATAATAAAAAAAAAAAAAACGCTTGTTCACAAGTCTAATCATAATTTCCATAGATTATTGTAAATTGAATTCATTTCCTATGATTAGTAAATTAAATTATTTTATTGTTTATATTTATTTCATAGCAATTTTACGTAATAGTATTGAGTTTTTAATTGAATGCAATTTTAAAACTTTTAACTTAATTATCTCGTTGAGTCTTACATAATTTCGCATAAATGCCATCTTTAGCTATTAACTGATGATGATTGCCTTGCTCTACGATATGACCGTTTTGCAAGATACATATTAGATCGGCATTTTGTATAGTCGATAACCGATGAGCTATAATAATGCAAGTTCTTCCAGTGCACGCCAAATCCAAGGCTTGTTGTACCAATTGTTCGCTTTGCAAGTCTAAAGCTGATGTCGCTTCATCCAGTAGCAAGACTTTAGGATTTCTAACTAGAGCTCGCGCTATAGCAATACGTTGTTTTTGCCCACCCGACAACTGAGTGCCACGTCTCCCCATTTTTGTATCGTAGCCGTTCGGCAGAGAAGTGATAAACGTGTGAGCGTTAGCACTTTTCGCAGCTGCTATTATTTCGGGCATAGTAACAGAACGAGAGTTATCACCATAGGCTATGTTTTCCGCGATGGTGCGCTCAAATAGCGATGGTTCTTGAGAAACGATACCCAACTTTCGTCGAAGACTGACTAAATTCATATCGGTGTGTATGTCATCGTTATCGATAAACTGAAATGCGTAAAAGTTATTAACATCATTGGAAATGAGTTTCGTTAAACCTACTATGGAGCCTTCCTCAGGATCGTAATAACGTTGTATTAATTGGATGCAAGTGGATTTTCCGCAGCCCGAATGACCCACCAGACCCACGGTTGTACCCTGCAAAACTTCCAAATTGAGATCATTTAATATTTTTATTCCCGGACGGGTGGGATAACTGAACTCGATATTGTTATAGCGAACACCTTCGTAGATATTTAATTGTTTGGCTAAAGTATTTTTTGTCGGGCAGGGAGAAGATTTCATTTTCGGTTTGCGATCTATAATTTGAAAAAGACGATGCGCGGCTGCTAATGCCGCAGTGAAAGCTGGAGCAAAAGCCAAAGATTGAGCCAACATCATGGAACCATACAATAAGGTTTCTGAAACTCTTAAGCATATGAAATTTTTTTGAATTTTGAATCAATACTTTTTGGCATTTCTTTAACTCACTTGATAATATCCTGAAATGGTACTTTTCCTTCCGATACTAAAACTCCGCCATAACATAAAGCCACAGCGTAGGCAAAGAATAAAAACGCTTGCCCGATCGAATTAATGATGCCACGATATCGTAGTTTGTTACGTATCAAAATTTCCACTTTGTGTACCTCCTCGTTATACTTGTCAATGATTTGTTGCTCTCGCCTCAGTCCGGCTATAGTGCGTATGTTCGTTATTGCCTCGGTAGCTATGCGACAAGCGTTTTCTAAAACTTGTTTCTCGTGAAGCATAGATTTTGTCATGAAACTAAACAAATTTTTTTTCAGTCTATTCTTTCATATTATACTTGGCTTTACAAAAGGAGTGAATGCACTTACTTTGCTTCAAAAATAATTGAACCTATTATAATGGGGCATGTACTTAGGCAGAGTAAAGCCAATTTCCAAGAATAGTAGAAGGACAAAGTAAGTCCGACAACAAAATTTGAAAAGGCCTGTAAGAGGCCACTTAAGGGAAAACCTATGGCTCCTTGGACACCAGCCGCGTCACCTGATAAGCGAGCCGACAATGAACCTACGGAGTTAGTTTCTTCGTCATACCAGGCCATTTCTTGTCTCATCATGGCTTTAAAAGTCATGGACCGCATACGAGTAGTCAGCCATACACCGGAATAATTAAATAAGTAGGTTTGTAGGAAACCGGCAAATCCCGTAATTAAACCTAAGCCCAAACAACTGAACGATAACATAGCAGTGCGATCTAAAGCCATTTCTTCGTCGACTTCGGCCAAGGCTGCATAGAATTCGCCAAACGCCACCGAAAAAGCGGGATAAGTGAAACCAAAACCTATTGCACAAAAGGCTCCCAGCGTTAAAAAGCACCATTCAGGTTTTGCGATTTTAAGTGTGCGACTAAATGTTAAGAAGAAATTAGGTTTTTTTTCTGATAGCGCCTTCGAAGCATGCGTTAAGCGTCCTTTCAGTTTTGCGTCAGCGGCCTCCGATTGTCGCCTATTTTTATAATTTTTATCGAAATTTATTAAATTTGTTTCGAATGTTTTCTCATATGCGGATAAATTATTTCCCAAATCGATAGAATTACCTGTAAAATGCGATGAAGTGACTAAATTTCATTCCCTATTTACTCTTTACCTTCTTCATTGACTTGATGATTTTTCAAGTCATGCATATTTAATTGTGTAGCGACTACCATTCGATAGTAGGCTCCTTCCAATGTCATCAGGTCATCGTGGGAGCCTTCTTCAACCACTTTACCATCATTTATAAAAACAATTTTGTCAGCCCCTCTAATGGCTGATAGACGATGTGATACCACTATTGTTGTACGTCCCTTTGACGCGAAATCTAAAGCTTCTTGAATTAATTTTTCTGATTCATAGTCTAAAGCTGATGTGGCCTCATCTAAGAGTAAAATCTTGGGATTCTGTATTAATGCTCGGGCGATGGCTATTCTTTGCTTTTGGCCTCCGGACAGCTGGGAACCGCGTTCCCCTATTATTGTTTTGTAACTCTAAGTGAATATAAAAGAAAGCCGAGATAATTGGGAGAAGCGTTTAACAAACATTTGTAAATTATTACAGAGATTCGTTAGAAAAGAATCACCTCTGGTAAATTGGAAATAAATTCGTGAACTCCGGCTGCCTTGGCAGCAGCTTCAATTTCCTTTTGCGTTGCATCGTGCTTGCCATGACTTATGTTTTCGGCTTAGAGAAAAATTAAATCATAACTTATTTTTATGAATTTATATAAGTATAAATTGTACCTATGGTTCCTGAAAATAATACGGGCTCTTGACCCACTACGGCCATTTGAGAACGCAGCCATTGTATATTATATTTACGTATATCTAACTCGTCGAGTAATACGGAACCGAATACTGGATCATAAAAGCGTTGCAGTAATTGCAAGCAAGTGGATTTGCCACAACCGGATGAACCCACTAAAGCGACTGTAGTACCAGCTTTAATTTTAATATTTAAACCACGATGTACTATGACATCCGGACGGGCTGGATACCGAAAGAAAACATCACTAAACTCCACATCGCCTCGTAAACCATAATTAAGAATTTTTCCATCAGAGGACATGGGATCTATTTTAGACAATGCGTCGATTATTTGAAATATGTTGGAAGCACAACCGCGGGCCATTGAGAAGCTTTCCAAAAATGGTGAAGTGCGTGCGATATTATCAGCCCCGATTATGATGCCGAAAAATGCCTGCAAGTGGGAAAAATTTAGTTAAAACTTAATTGCTTGGATATCGCGGCTAAGCTTACAATCATTAAAATCGCTGGTGTGTATTCCTTGTCCTCAACATTACGATCGTTAAGTATTAAATTGACGCCATACCAAAATGCTCCCGCACACGATAGGAATAGCATGCTCTTCAACACAGCATCGCTGAATCCCGAAAACGCCCCCTTGCGTTGACTAGCTTTGCGAGCGGGAATCAAAAAATTATCATAACGCTCCGATTCTTTCTGTTCGCCACCGAATGCTATCACAGTACGTATAGAACTTAATATTTCCTCCACTAAATTGCCAGCATTAGCATACGATTCTTGTTCTTCAGTGGTTAGTTTACATTGAAACTGAATGGAAAAAGATTATGATTAGATTTGATCAAATTGACCGAACTGCAGTTTTCTTACTTTGGCTACAAAGTAATTCAAGAGAATAACTAACGGTATATAAACACTAACTGCCAAAGTTAATTTCCAGCCGTAGGCAAAGGAAAGGGCTACCGTTATAACAAAACCAATAATCAAGTATAGGAAATGACCCACTTTTTCGGATATGCCGTCTCGAATCTTTTCGATATCGCTAATAATTGGTCATATGAAATTAAATGTGGTTACATCAAGAGCGATGAGCTTCACGGTTACTTACTCTGTCATATTTTGGGCAAAATTTTGTTTAACTGCTAGATCATGCCAGCCAATATCTTGTCGCATTACCGCTTGAAATAATTTCATACGCATGCGAGTGACTTGTCTCAAGGCGATCAAATTGAATATATCGACTGAGAATATGCCCGATATCAGCATAACTAGTGAAGCCAAAGTCAAAAGAATGCCGTAAGATATTGAATCATTGTAAAGTTCTCGGTTATTTTCATCGATGGAGGCATTAGTTCTACAAAGAATTGGAATCGGAAATGAAAAGAAGCGAAAACTTTATAGTCAGACGTCGCCGACCTTACACAAATTACATCAATTCTTAATTTATTTTCCTGATAAAATATCAAGTCATACTTTTCACGAAATCTGTTATATATTGGAGGGGATTCAAAACGTGAATGGATTATGCCCCAATTTAAATAAAATTGATTTTCTTTCTCTATATTCTTCCCCATTTTCTTTATAAAGTGATTAAAATTAGAATTTTGGGGTTAAATAAAAGCTTGCTTTCTTAATTAGATCATAGATTGGGAATCATTTTCTTAGCAATCGGATCGGTGCAATAAAAGTTAGGTCTATCTCAAGCCCTTTTGGGTGTTTCATGCATCCCCGCAAACTTAATATACCATATACCGCAATGGTACCCTGAATACTATAATGGAGACTGGAGTAGTTCCGAGTAATAATATATTTCACCGCGAACTGCGCGGTTTATGGAAAATTGTTTGGAACAATTATATAGGTAAATTAGAATGAAGATTTTAATAGAATCAGCTTAGCTTAGGTGGGCGGCCTTCGAATGGAGATTTCAATAGGGTTAGCATCGATTACTTAGTTTAGATGGGCGGCCTAGATATATAAAATCATGAAAATATTGATGATTACTTAGACATTGTCCACCTCGTAAGCGGTGGGTAGGTGTGTAAGTAACCTTTCAGAAAATGATTTTGATTCGATCTGTTTTCTGTGTGCAGCATACCACCCCACAAACTTAATAAAACATATGTCAGCATACAAATGAAAGCCTTTATAGTCAGTCATACAAGACGGATCATTAAAAACCGAATATCAGTTTCAGACTTTAAAAAGTCAAGAAGACTTTGTGCGTGCTGTTAATACTTTCACAAAGGTTATCGTAAACAGTTCAGTACATTCAAAATGGATAAAATTTCCTCGACCTTAGATCGTGAAGTAAAGTAAAAGTATGCCCTGCAATGTAAAAAGTGAAAGAGTAGGATGCTCATCGAGATGCTTATAACTAATTGTTCATTTTTCCATCAACATATTTCCATCTGTCGCAATTAAGTAGTCAGGCGCCTATGACACCTTGCACGTTGACTTGGGTTGACTTTTCATCATGCACTTTAGTAAATCTGTATCCTAAGTAAACTTTAATTCATATCCGATGGACTTTATATTTATCGGGTTATATCACTTAAAGCACTCACTTATCCCATAAATACCAGAAATGCTATTTAATTAATTAATATATTGATATATTGACTTGCATTATAACTTACAATGTCTTGCCACCATTAAATAGAGGAAGAGCATATGTCTTTGAACTGGTACCAATGCGTAATGTGCGATCCACTAACATAGCAGTAAATTCGCTATAGACGATTACAACAGCCGGTAATGTCAAAGCCTTAATGGCCGACATTAAAAAACCAATAAATAGTAGAAATATTTCATAAGGCGTAGAAAAACGATAAAGACGCCAAAAGCTGATGGGCTTAGACGGCTCCAAACCTTCGGCTATAGGTGTGTCTAACGATGATTTCGATATTGAAGAGTCCTCACGTTCCATAATGTTTTAAGAATTCCAAAAAAACAAAAAAAAAAAAAAAAAAACAAAAACCTCACACACACTCAATACTCAAATCAATAATTAATTACAAACGTTCGCTTGACTTGCAACAACAATTAATTGGGAAAAAATAACTTGAGTAGCGACGTAACGTCGCAATGTCTCGTTTTTATCTAAAAGAGGTTAATTTAATTAAACTCTTCGCCTAGCGCGAAACCAAAAATCGCTTACAAGACATATAATTCATATTAAAGAGATGTGACAAATTGTGATGTAATACATATATATATATATGTATGTATATATGCAATGTACTAATAATCTTGGATTGTTATTAATTTTTCACATTTTATAAAAAAATAATTTAAAAAATATTTTTAAAATTTATTGTTGATTGTTTATGGCTCCTAGAAGTATACTGCTCCGGCTGAAGGATTCAATCAATTATTTACGTTTTTCATTTATTTTAATATAATTAATTAATTTAAATATTTTTCTTTCGTTATTTTGATGCCTTGCAAGCGGTTTTTCAGTTTTTAGCTTACCACGCTTCAGCACAAACTAAGAGAATTTTCAGTTTTGAAATGTTTTTTAAAATTCATGAATGTGATCTACTCCATAGTCTTAACCTGTCATCAATTTTGATCACTCACACAATGAATTTCAATTATAAATTAATTTTCATTCAAGGTACCCTATTCAATTTACGTTCAATATGGCATATTATTATTTGTGTGATATTATATAGGTAGCTAACTTCATTTTATACTGATTAATTTATAATTATGTTTTTAATAAATTTAAGTCTATGCGTCCATCCTATGATTGTACATGAATCTTTAAATTTAACCTATAGATTGAAAATTTTCAACATATTTTGATCAAATTTGATGCATTGACAATTTTAGACTCAAGGACAAGTTATACTTAAAAAAGATTCAATTCAATCATTCCCCATACAAATCCGATTTAGAGAAAACGATCCAATTTTTAGTATTTATTATCAAAAGTCAATAAAAGTCATAGTATTTGCAGCATATTACATGAATTTGAAACATTTGGACTGAATGGGATCATTTTTTGAAGACAATCCTGCAAAAATTTTCTCATAATACGTTAGCTCTCTAAGGTCGAAAGAGTAAATTTTTAATATTTTATGATGATCGGGGAGATCTGACGCAAAATTGAGTCCTTCTAAGTAATGAAAAATCGTGTTAGGCAACGTAGTGCACGGTTAGTTAAAGTCGCCTACGTCCGACCGTAGCATTTTAGCTTATTTTTAAGTTGAACAATGCTCAGGAGCAGTATCACGAACAAAAATGAAGAGAATGTGGCTTTCAATATCAATAAGAACCGGAAATGGAAGAAAGTTTTGCACAACTCAATTTAAGTAAATCTTGTACACTTTGAGTCTAAGTTGTACGCAGTGCATCTTTTTTATTGGGGCAGAAAATCTTTACAAGGCTCATATTGCATAAGTTATCCGCGTGAATTTAAAGTCATTCATCTTTTATTGAAAGTGAAATAAATTTCGGGCTTCAAGGCCATTCGTTCTATCGAGTAGATGCTTTAGTACACCGGTGAATATGAATGATTGAATTTTTCTATTTGTGAAGATTTCATAAGGCAGAGACAGAAGAAGTCAGAAATATTACATTCGCGACTTTCGTCAAAGCGTTTCACTGAAATTAGCCAGATTGGTGCCTGCGAGAAGAAGTGGTGGACCGATCAAAGTAGAGCTTTATAGTTAATTTTATAGACATGGACGGAACCATTTATCAAGCTTTAATGTGTTTACTTAAAAAATCATTGCTTCCGCTCGTTTCATGCAAAGACGAAAATTATGCTGTAAGTGGTCTTGAAACCATACATGCCGGGTGGTACGCTTTATAGTTATGTGTTTCGAGAAATGCTGTATTTATTGTTTACTATCGATCTACATTGGGTTCAACTAACGAAGAGGGAAATTTTTAAGAAAGTAAAAGATAGAGAGACAGAGAGAGAGAGAGAGAGAGAGAGAGAGAGAGAGAGCCAGCCTTAAAGACCGAATTGTGTTAGTGGAAATATTGTTGAACGTCTGATTACAATAACAATTATATATAAGTAGAATTAAGTAAAAATGTATAAAATGTAAAATCGCCGAAACACTCTTGTGTTTGTCCAATAAACAATTCCTAAAAATATTTGCATTAAATTTATGGACCCTCTGAACTCTGAAGTTAGCTTGAATGGATTTCAGAATTTTGCTTGTACGCTTATCACATCTCTCACTGCAATTTTTTGCTTTTTTTACAAGCCCACAGCCAAACTATGTTTAGTAAAATTTTCCAACACACATAATAACATTTACAGTAAGGATATATTAAATTGGTGCAAATGTACGTAACATTCAAAGGGATTTGAACATGAAAAGAACTTGAGACAGAATTAACAACTATTCTACCAGTCATTCATTTTTAAAAAATTGAATTAATAAAGTCTATTCGTATGTCCATCTGTCCGCCTGATGTCCGTCCATGCAGGTTCGAATCGTAAGCGCGGTAGAGTTTCCTTTGGGCATAGCTGTAGTGAGTGTTAAGTCGGTAAAGGCTATTAGGCTACGGACACCTCCACATATCTTTCTCTTTGCTTCATTTTGTTCTAACATTTGCATGTTAGACGGATATGGGGCATCTCCTAAATGATTGATGATATTGAAACTGAAAAAAAAAATTGCGCTAAAAGTTAATAAAATTCCCCGCGAGCGTAGCATATGTTGTGTCCCAGGCGTTGAATGGGACCATTTTGACGGTCATTATCTTTTGCGATTATATGAGAGTGTCCTAAGGGGAAATTAGAAATTTTTATGGAACCCTCTCCCATATAAATTTTTTTTACACGAAATGGAATTTGATGTCGTAAAGAGGTTAAATTTTTTATATTTTATGGTGAAAACTGGTGCAAAATAGGAATTGCTTACTGCGTAAAGGATGGACCACGTGCCAGGCGAGTGTTTGAACTTCTCCTCATAAAAAACTCTCATGGTAATCGAACCTTTATATGGTCAGATGACAGAAGCATCTGTTGTGGTTCACAATTTCATTGAAGGTTCTATTGTCTTCTTTAATTTGATCGATTTAATCGATCGCAACAGTTGCAATGACAGTTGTCTAAATAATTGTGTTGCCACACTCACACACAACTTATAGATGAAAATATATAGATAGAAAACCAATTGATTTTATCTAGAGTGCTGCGTCATGTATTTTATGACAAAGTGAAGTGAAGTGATTACGTTTGGCCAACTACTATTATACCCATAGCCCAAGGATCAGGAGGGGATACATTCATTTTGTGAAAACGTTCGTAACGCCTAGCGGGAAGTTTCGGAGACCCCAAAAAGTATATATATTCTTGATCAATATCAAATTCTGAATCGTTTTAAGCATGTCCGTCTATCCGTCTGTGCAATGTCTGTTATAAATATTCTCTTGGCCGCAAAAGTGAAGTTATCGATTTGAAATTTGGCAGAAAGATTGGAAGTTCTTGTACGTAGTTTGATACCGAAAATGGGCGAAATCGATCGAATATCGTGCCGACAGCACCACGTAAACTGAGAATACCTTAGTTTTTCAAAGCGAAAGAAAAATTTATTTTTTACTCATTAGTCATAAACTATAACAGATGAATGTACAAAAACTTGAATGCATATTCTATGGGCGATGCTGTAGCATTTGTGCATAAAAATGGAAAAAGTCGATCACGTCTAGCCAATATTGTTTCAATATCATTGTAACAAGTCTCAAAAATCCCATAAAGTATACAAATTCTTGGCCAGTTACAATTCTTGAATGCACCTAAACATGTCCCCCTGTTTGTCTGTCCATCTGTTTGTTTGCGTAACTTTTTTTGCATTTGTAAAATTCGTAACGTTTAACGAAAAGGAAGATATCGCCTAAAAATTTGCGAAAGCATTTGGAATTGACCTAAACTTTTCATAGCACACGCCTACAACGCCCACATGCCTCTTAGACAAATACTTTTATTATCAATATTATTGAACATAAGAGTTATGTTCGTTTATTTAACTATTTTTCCCTTTTTTTGGGGCAGTAAACGGTGATGAAACGGTATGAAAGGATCAGTCCCGTTCCGAATTTAATTTTCCTACCTGTTTTTTTTTTTTATGGTAAAAATAGGGGGCACAATGAAGGATTCGCCATTAAGGAATATAATTTCTGTTTCGATTACTGGTTCGACTTGTTCGACTAGTCCGACTTTGTCGACTTATTCGAATGTTAAATGAACTTACGATTCATTTCAATTTCAATTAAACAATAAACACTTTTTATATGTAGTCGTTTACGACTGATTTGTATATTATCGTAATCAAGCAAATTACACAGATAATTCGATGATTTTTTTTTATTTAATCCAACTTGTATTTGTTTTTCAATACTAATGAAATTAATATAAAAATTATTAAATGCATTTGTAATGTGTTTAAATGTCTACGAAGCTTTCCTATCTTCTCGTTATTTTCCTCATCAATGGCATAACTCTTTTTTTTTTTGATATGTAGATTGAACGTATTGTGCGTTCATAATTTATAGTTCAATAGGTTAAATATCACAAAATATGTAATAACGATATGTTCTTCTATACTAAATGAAAGAAATTATATGCATATATATATATATGTGTGTATTAATTCATTTTTCTTAAAATATATATTTTGAATATTTTTTGTTTTTATCACATATAGTCAATGAAAATAAAAGTTAACTGAAATTGTTTCGTAAAAAATGGCAGGAGCCACCAAAATTTTTCATTTATGTTATTATACCCATCAGTGGAGGTTGAGGGGTCTATTCACTTTATCAAAACATTTGCAACGCCCAGAAAGAAGCCTCAGATACTCCATGAAGTATGTGGATATTCTTTATCAGTATCAAATTCAGAATCGATTTAAGCACGTACGGCCGTCTGTCCATATCTGTGTCTGATTACAACAGACATTCTCTGCTTTTAGTCGCATAAATGAAGTTATCGAACCAAAATCTGGCAAAAACATTGAAATTTGTTGCACGCAGATTGGTCAAAGCGCAGGCTCGTAGTAAAGTTTCAACTGGATATATATCGGTTTCTTCAAGTAAAAAATTTGTTTAATCTTTTACTCATTCCTCATAAATTATGAAAGATACAAGGCTGAAATTCTTATTTGAATTTATTTAGAGGATCCTGTTATTCATGTTAAAAAAAAAAGAAAAAAAAATTTTTATTTTTTCCCTTTTTTTTTAATTTTTCTTCTTATTACTCATTGGGTAAACAAGAAGGAATTTGAAAATTATTCTCTACTGTCTGGCTTACATGAAGATGTACTTACTATATGCCTAAAAATATCGTAAGTCCAAAATCAGTACTAAGATGGACCCTAAAAGGT